AGCAGAAGCAGCAGCAGCAGCGCAGGCGGGGGACTGGAGCAGGGCGGCGGCAGCAGCAGCGGTGGCGGCTGCAGCAGCAGCACGAGCCGCGGAGGAAGCGCCGGCGGAAGCAGCAGCAGCAGCAGCAGAAGCAGCAGCGCGCAGCAGCAGCTTCCGCAGCAGCAGCACTTTTCGCGGCAAAACCTTCCGCAGCATGCGCAGCATCCGCAGCAGCATCCGCAGCATCCGCAGCAGCATCAGCAGCAAACAAGACTGGAGGCGCAGCATTCGGCAGATCGGGCGGACGCTGCGGACTTGGCGGCGCAGCAGCGCAGCAGCAGCGCAGCAGCAGCAGCAGCAGCAGCAGCAGCAGCAGCAGCAGCAGCAGCAGCAGCAGCAGGAACTCGACGACTCCGCCCTCGCCTCCCCAGAAGACCTCGAAGGCGTTTTGGGCTCTTATGAAAAAACCAAAAAGTGGTGGCACAGAATTGTCACTTCCAACTTCAGTCCGCTGGCCAACAGAAACAGCGTGGCCAATTTGCTGCTCCGTGCGCCGCTGCTGCTGCTGCTGCTGCTGCTGCTGCTGCTGCTGCTGCTGCTGTGTTGCTGCGGCGGCGGCTGCTGCTGATGGCGGCGTCCTTGGGCCGTGAAGCTCATGTCCTGCTGCTGCGGATGTCCTGCTGCTGCTGGTGTTCTGCTGCTGCTGGTGTTCTGCTGCTGCTGATGTTCGGCTGCTGCTGATGTCCTGCTGCTGCTGCTGCTGCTGCTGCAGAGATGCAGGGGCGCGTGTGGCCCGAGGTGAAGACAGCAGCAGAGCTGCTGCTGCCAGTCACTGCGCTGCGGGCGCTGCAAGCCACAGGAAGGCCGGAGCCGGTGCTCTACTCCTTGGGCTCCTCGCGTAAGTGCTGCTGCTGCTGCTGCTGCTGCTGCTGCTGCTGCTGCTGCTGCTGGTTGGTGTGGGGGGGCGTCGCTGCTGCGTCGGGCGTTGGCGCAAGGCCGTGTTTGTGGCGTGCAGGGTTTAGGGTTTAGGGTTTAGGGTTTGCCTTGGGAGTGCGTTGGCCGCTGTTGCCTCTCCCCCGCCCGAACACCCGCTGCTGCTGCTGCTGCTGCTGCTGCTGCTGCTGCTGCTGCAGTGTTCAACTGCAGGGCGCACATGCCTTACCGGATGCTGCCGTCGCTGGGGCGGAAGGCGCTGCCGCCAGCAGCAGCAGTGTCTTGGCCAGCAGCAGATTTGTTTAATGAGTTTGAAGGGACTTTGGACTTTCCCGTGGGGGGTTTGCCTGGGGGCGAAGTGCTGCTGCACAGCGCAGCAGCAGCAGCAGCAGCAGCAGGCCCCGCAGCAGCAGCAGCAGCAGCAGAGGAGCCCGCGGCCCGCCGCAGCAAACAACTCTACTTCCGCTCCGTGCTGCTGCTGTGGCAGTTCGCCTACACTTCTTATAAGTTCGGAGACATTTTGGAAAACTATTTGGAGACTCCTTTGGACCAGTTGCTCTTCAAACACTTCGTCCCCACTTACATCGGCACTGCCCTCTTCTCCGAATTCGGCAAGTCCTGCTGCTGCTGCTGCTGCTGCTGCTGCTGCTGCTGCTGCTGCTGCGAGGGCGCAGCTGCTGCGAGTCTTGCTAAGGTGCTGCAGCGGCTGCTGCTGCGGTTCTGTCGCGGTGCTGCTGTGGTGCCGGTGCTGCTATTGCTGCTGCGGTGCTGCGATTGCTGCTGCGCTGCTGCTGCTGCGCTGCTGCTGCTGCGCTGCTGCTGCTGCTGCCGCTGCTGCTGCTGCTGCTGCTGCTGGGTCGCGTTTTTCTGTCTTTGTGGCCTTTTTGGCCTTTTTCAGTTTTTATTTCCTCTAAACTATCTGCCTTTACTTCCCCTGAGTTATCTTTGCCTCGCTGCGTCTCGCGGCGCTGCGCCGCCTGCTGCTGCAACAGCAGCAGCAGCAGCAGCAGCAGCAGCAGCAGCAGCGTGCATGCGTGTGCGGTGTACGTACAGCCCCCATGCACTCCCTGGACGGCCAACTCACCCCCGAGGGGGCCCTGGCTTTGTCGAAGTCGAATTTAGTTTTGCTGCAGAGCTTTGGGGGGCCCCCCCGAGTTGCTGCAGGGGGGGCCCCCCTGGAGGTGCCGCGTGTGCTGCGGCTGCGGGACGCGGCGACAGGGGAGCTGCTGCTGCTGCAGCAGCAGGGCGCTGCAGCAGGGCCGGGCGCAGCAGCAGCAGCAGCAGCAGCAGCAGCAGCAGCAGCAGGCAGCAGCAGGTTCCAACTCGTCGAAGACAAACTGCTGCCAACCATCAATGCAGACACTTGCGAAAAAGATGCAACTTATCAAGTTGTTGTCCCAAGTCCCTTAGTCTTCAGATGGGACTTGAACTTATCCCCCAACCCTGCTGCTGCTGCTGCTGCTGCTGCGGAGGCCGACGAGGACCCAGCAGCAGCAGCAGCAGCAGCAGCAGCAGCAGCAGCAGCAGCAAAGGTCAAGGGCCCCGCAGCACCTTCTCTCGTGCTGCACCTCGGAGATGATGTGGGCATTGGGGCTCGAGACAGAGACTTTCGAAAACCCCAAAAAGGGGACTCCGCAATTCCAGTCCACAGGGCCGACATTGTCTGGGCCTTCAAGGGCACTGCCCAGCCCAAGGTGCCTGCTGCTGCTGCTGCTGCTGCTGCTGCTGCTGCTGCTGCTGCTGGGGGTGCTGCTGGGGGTGCTGGGGGTGCTGCTGCTGGGGGTGCTGCTGCGGGTGCCGCTGCTGAGCGTGCTGGGGGTGCTGCTGTGCTGGGGTTTCTGGGGGTGCTGTTGTCTCTGCGAGTGCTGTTGTTGCTGCTGCTGCTGCTGTTGCTGCTGCTGCTGCTGCTGCTGCTGCCGTTCGCGTTGCTGCTGCTGCTGCGGGCCCACAGTCGCGGGCGCGCGTTTCGCTTCTGAAGCAGCAGCAGGAGCGTTGGGCTCGGGGCGCTTTTTCGCGTCTGGAGCCGAAGCCGGTGCCCCCGCTGCTGCTGCTGCTGCTGCTGCTGCTGCTGCTGCTCGTGTTTTCGTGCAGCAATGGACCTTCAACACTATGACAAACCCCATTCGAGACCCCTTTTTCTCCCCCAAGGCCCGGCTGCACTCGGGCTTTAGCTTTTTATTTCACCAAGTGCTGCGGCGGCCTTTGACGCGCTTCGTGAGCGAGATGAAGACCCTCTTGAAGCGCCGCCGCCGCAGCAGCAGCAGCAGCAGCAGCAGCAGCGGCAGCAGCAGCAGCAGCAGCAGCGGGAGCAAGAGGCCGCTGGTGGTTGTGTTCACGGGCCACTCGCAGGGGGGGGCCAGCGCCTCACTTGCTGCTTGGTTTGTCTCCAAACATTTGAAAAAACAAATCCAAAAAGGAAGAGTGGTTATTTACTGCATCACTTTTGCTGCTCCCCTGGTGCGTGCGGTGTACATACACCTCAGCTTGCTGCACTTTGCGGTTTTTCGCCAGTTCGAGGCTCTTTGAATCCGTTTTTAAGTGCATTTTGATCCGTTTTTAAGTGCATTTTATCAGTTTTTATTTATTTAATTAAATGAAGTTTAATTTAATTCCAAAATCCATTTGAATTCTCTCAAATTCATGAAATTGCGTTTGTGATCACACCACAATCAGGTGTCCATACACTCGAACGCCCTGAATAGACACAAGTGCAAGTAAATAAAGCATCAAAAGCAAATTAAAGATTTGCCAAATTATTATTTTTAATTTATTATTCTTTCTTTGTTCATTTGCATGCAAATGCAATTAATATCCCTCAAATAAGTTCCGCTATAAATCCACGCAAATGCCACTACGCAGTCCACTGGCACGCAGCAGCAGCAGCAGCAGCAGCAGCAGCAGCGACAGCAGCACCAGCACCAGCAGCACCAGCAGTAGCCCCACCAGCACCACCAGCAGCCGCACCAGCAGCAGCAGCAGCAGCAGCAACAGCAGCAGCAGCAGCAGCAGCAGCAGCAGCAGCAGCCCGTTTCTTGTTTTGTTCAGATTGGAGACCGCGCAGCAATAAAGGAGCTGCAGCGCCACGGGGCCATCTTTCAGCACTTAGTTGTTGATGTGGATCCAGTCCCCGATTTGCGGCAGGCCAAGGGGAAGGCCTACATGGAAAAGGACTACGAACACACCATCACCGAGGGTTTAGGGTTTAGGGTTTAGGGTTTAGGGTTTGGGGTTTAGGGTTTAGGGTTTGGGGTTTAGGGTTTGGGGTTTAGGGTTTCGTGGTTGCCCATTACAAAAGGAGGCGTGCCCGCGCCCGTATCCGCACGGGCATCGAACTGCACCGCCGCGCGTCTGCCTTTGCTGCTGCTGCGCTGCTGCTGCTGCTGCTGCTGCTGCTGCGCTGCTGCTGCTGCTGCTGCTGCTGCTGCAGCTGCCGATGCACTCGCTGGCGCGCGCCGTAGTGCGGGAGGAGCCCTCGGGGCGTTTGCTGTTTAGCGGGCTGAGTTGGCTGGGGGCGGAGTACCGCAGCAGCAGCAAACGGGCGCGGCTGCTGCAGTTTGCTGCTGGGCTGCTGGGGCTGCAGCAGCTGCGGCGCTTCAGCAACAGCATGGCTCTTGTCTGGACCCACATGCATGCGCTGCCCTGCGCCCTCACGCTGCTGGCGGGGCTGCTGCAGCAAATCAAGTGGAGCAGCTTCTGCAGCAGCGCCTTCCTCCGCACCTGGGGCGGCAGGCCCTACGTCGCCAGCCAGGGTCCGCTGCTGCTGCTGCTGCTGCTGCTGCTGCTGCTGCTGCTGCTGCTGTTGCTGCTGCTGGTGTGATGATGAGGGTGGTGGGGATGGGGAGGGTTTTGAGGTGGGGATGGGGAGGGGGAGGCTTGGGGTGGTTGTGGTTCTGCTGCTGGTGCTGCTGCTGATGAGGATGATTACTATCATGCTGCTGTGGCTGCTGCTGCTGCTGCTGCTGCTGCTGCTGCTGCTGCTGCTGCTTGTGGTGGTGGTGGTTCTGCTGCTGATGATGGTGTTTGTGGTCGCGGTGCTAATGCTGCTGTGAGGATGAAGTTGGTGGCGGTGATGGTGAACACGCTGCTGCTGCTGCTGTTGCTGCACATCTGCTGCTGCTGCTGCTATGCTGCTGCTGCTGCTGCTGCTGCTGCAGAGCTAGACATGGCGCTGAAGGAAGCCTGGTTTAGTGGGCTGCTGCCGATGGGGGCGCTGCTGGACCGGAAACTAAAAAGAGATCCGAAGTTTCTTGAGCGAGCAGCAGCAGAAGTGGAGCGTCTTTACCAGAGGGTCCCGCAGGAGCAGCAGCTGCAGCACCAGCTGCAGCAGCAGCTGCAGCTGCAGCAGCAGGAGCAGCAGGAGCAGCAGCTGCAGCAGCGGCAGCAGCAGCGGCAGCAGCAGCGGCGGCGGCGCCAGTTCGGAAGAGCTCACTGAGGCGCAGCAAATGCAGTTGTGGATTATTTGTGTTTGTGCTTTTTCTTTTTATTATTAGTGTTTGTGTTTTTTCTTTTTGGATTTGAAGTGGAAAAGCGCGGCTGAGAGGTGTACGTACACCCGGACGCGGTGTACGTACACCCGAGCGCCCTGCTGCGTCTTGGCCTCATTTTCGCATTTTCGAAGTCCCAAAAGTCCATTTTAATGCTGCCAAGGCTTCAGACTTAGGCTTTTCTTGTTTAAATGTGTTTCTTTTGCTGCTATTTCCCTTTTGCTGCACTTAAAACGGGAAAAATGCAAAAAAAAGGACTTTTCTGCTGACTGGCTTTTCCTCGGTTTGCTGTTCAGGTGTACGTACACCTGGTGCGCGCCCGCCGCGGCAGCTTGTGGGTTTAAGTGCTCGTTTGTGGAATTCATTTGTGATTTTAATGTTTATTTGCAGTTAAATTTCATTATTAAATTTTATTATTTAGCATCAACAAGTTCTTTTCTTCTTTGCGCGCTGCATGCTCAGCCGTTCGGGTGTATGTACATCTGAGCGCAGCCGTTTGTGCCTGCACCTTCTTAGACTTCATTAGCTGCTTCGGCGGCTAGCTAGCTACTGGCTAGCCAGCTAGCTACTGGCTAGCCAGCTAGCCAGCCAGCTAGCCAGCTACCCAGCAAGCTGGACAGCTAGCTAGCCAGCTAGCTGGCTATCCAGCTAGCTAGAGGGCTAGCTAGCTGTCCAACTAGCTGGCTAGCTGCATAGCTAGCTAGCTAGCTAGCTAGCTATCCAACTAGCTAGCTAGCTAGCCAAGGGAACTGAAACGGTTTAGCTGGCTTGACTGACTCTTTGGAGCTTGCTGCTGGGAGTGCAGGGGCGGGGCCCTCAGCAGCAGAAACTACAAAATGGATTTTGTTGCAGCAAATTAAGAATGCGCTGGCACTTAGGCAGCAGCAGCGGCAGCAGCAAAAGAAGTAGCAGCAGCAGCAAAACTAAAACCAGAAGCAAAAGTGGCAGCAGCAGCAGCAAAAGTAAACCAGAAGCGAAAGTAGCAGCAGCAGCAGCAAAAGTAAAAGCAGAAGCACAAGTAGCAGCAGCAGCAGCAAAAGTAAAACGGGAAGCAAAAGTGGCAGCAGCAGCAGCAAAAGTAAAACGCGAAGCAAAAGTAGCAGCAGCAGCAGCAAAAGTAATACCAGAAGCAAAAGTAGTAGCAGCAGCAGCAAAAGCAAAACCAGAAGCAAAAGTAGCAGCAGCATCACCTCGCCGTCTTAGCCTCAGACGCAGCTAAAGGCGACGCTGCTAGCTGCGGTTAGCTGTAGCTAGCTGTGGCTAGCTGCAGCCACCTGCAGCTAGCTGCACTCATCACTTTCGCTGCACCTTGCTGCAGCTTGCTGCAGCTAGCTGCAGCAGCAACTGCAGCTGGCTGCAGCAGCAACTGCAGCGCCAGCAAGCGCAGCGAACAGGCTACATGGCCATGAGCAGCAACAACAGCTAGCTGCAGCAGCAGCAACACCTAGCTGCAGCAGCAGCAACACCTAGCTGCAGCAGCAGCAACAACTAGCTGCAGCAGCACCTGCAGCAGAATATGCAACGCCAACAGGCGCAGCGAAAAGGCTGCAGCACAACAAGTGCAGCAGCAGCAGCAGCAGCAGCAGCAGCAAAAGAAATCGGGGAAATGGTGTATATGTGTATGATAAAAGGGTTCAAGGAGAGAAGAAAAAAGAAACTAAAAGAGAAAAAGAAAATAAATTTGCAAAGAAAGAAAAGGAAATAAAAGGAGAATAAAAAAACGGAGCCGCAGCAAACAAAGCAGCTAAAGCCCTGCAGCAGCGGCAGCAGCAGCAGCAGCAGAAAGTGCCCAAGTGGTCAAAAGGGACAAAAAAGCCAGACCCGCAGCGGCTAGCTAGCTAGCCGACTAGCTAGCTAGCCGACTAGCTAGCTAGCCGGCTGGCTAGATGGCTAGCTAGCTAGCCAGTCGATTGGGCTACTCGCTGGCTGTCTAGGTTGCTGTCTGGCTTGTTAGCTAGCTGGTTACCTATCTGGCTAGTTAGTTAGCCCACTGGATAGCTAGCTAGCTAGCTAGCTAGCTAGCTGTCTATCTAGCTAGCTACGTAGATGGCAAGGCTACCCCCCAGACAAATAGTTGCATGTGGAACTTGCTAGGCATCAACTTCGCCGGCTAGCCAGCTGTGGGTGGCTAGCTAGCCAGCTAGCTAGCGAGCCAGCCAGCCAGCTAGCTAGCTAGCTAGCTAGCTAGCTAGCTACAAAGTTGCGGGCAGCTAGCTGGCTAGCCCCCAGTAGGCTCTTTGCTTGCTGCACAAGTCTAAAAGCAGAAAGAGTTGAGCTCCTGAGAACTCTTTAATGAACTTTGAATTATACAACTTTTCGAAATATGTTTTCTTTTACTTTTTCTAATTATAATTGTTTACTTTTAACCGGACACAAATGCAGCTGCTGCAGCTGCTGCAGCTGCTGCAGCTGCTGCGCTCCTGCTGCGGCTGTAGCAGCTGCTGCAGCTGCTGCTGTGCTTCTGTTGCGGCAGCAGCAGCAGCTACAGCTACTGCAGCTGCTGCAGCTGCTGCAGCTGCGGCAGCTGCTGCAGCTGCTGCAGCTGCTGCAGCTGCTGCAGCTGCTGCAGCTGCTTGTCTAGTCTATAGAATGTCTGTTCAGTAAGATTTTTTCCTTACTCTACGCAGCTAGCTGCAAATGGCTAGCTAGGGCTGCAGCCGCAAAGGCGAGGGAGAAAGCACTGCAGCAGAAGCAGCAGCAGCAATAAAAGCGCAGCTGCACAAGGATATGCTGCTGCTGCCGTTGCAGCTGCTGCTGCTGCTGCTGCAGTTGCTGCAGCGGCTGCTGCTTCTCCCTGCAAGTTGCAGCAGCAGCTACAGCTACAGAGCTGAACAATAATTGCCCATGAGCGGGCACTACAACAGGCCAATCAGGAGGCCCCTTTGGAGGCCCCCCAGGGGCCCCCAGGGGTCTCCATGGGGGCCCCCATGGGGGCCCCAAGGGGCCCCCTTGGGGGCCCCCAGGGGCCCCCCTGGGGGCCCCCAGGGGCCCCCTTGGGGGCCCCCAGAGGCTCTAAAGGGCGCGACTGGGGCCCCTAGGTGGCCCCCCGAGACCTCCAGGGGCCCCTCAGAGGCCCCCAGGGGGCCCTAGGGGCCCCCAAGGGGGCTAGGGGGCCCCGGGGGCCCCCTATGGGACCTCAGGGGCCCCGGAAGTAGGGGCCCCTCAGGGGCCCCCTGGGGCCCCTCAGGGGACCCCAGTTCTACTTCGGGGCAGCAGGGAGGAACCTTGAGGGGCTATGTGGGGTTGGATCCAGCCGCTTGGGGGCGGCATGAGCTCCTGCAGCAGCAGCAGCAGCAGCAGCAAGAGGGCAGCAGCAGCAGCAGCAGGACGCGGAAAGAAGGCAAAAGAAGACCAACATTACAAAAGAGAGCAGCAGAAGCAGCAGCAGCAGCAGCAGCAGCAGCCCCGCATCAGCAGCAGCCCCGCCCGCGCCCCTCCCCGCACCCAGCCGCCCCCGCAGCAGCAGCAGCAGCAGCAGCAGCAGCAGCAGCAGCAGCAGCAGCAGCAGCAGCAGCAGACCTGCTGGTCGCCGATTCTGCGGAGGGCCACGTAGGCGTCAGTGCCGTGGCCGGGAATGGAAAAGAGAGAAAGAGATCCTCCAAGATAAGAAGCATAAAGTCTGCAGAGGGGAAGTCCGCAGCCAAAGCCTGCGAGGGGGGAGGCCCGGAAGGCAGCAGCAGCAGCAGCAGCAGCAGCAGCAGCAGCAGCAAAGTCCAAAGACCCGATCGTCACCGACTGCACGCAGCCCCCAAGCTGCTGCTGCTGCTGCTGCTGCTGCTGCTGCTGCGCAGCCGCCGCCCGCGACAGCGGCACGCACGCCGACGGGCGCCGCGGCCCGCTCGCCGCCTCCCGCTTCTGCTGCTGCTGCTGCTGCTGCTGCTGCTGCTGCTGCTGCGGGCCAGCAGCAGCAGACACCACTGCGCCAGTGAGGGGGTCGTACTTCACAGGAGTTGCTGTGGTGTACATGTAACTCCAAATCCGCGGCTGCGCCTCGTTGCTTATCCCGCCCCCCATGTCCGACAGCTGCAGCCACCCCACACAGCTAGCTAGCTAGCTAGCTGGCTGGCTAGCTAGCTGGCTAGCTGGATGCATGGATGGCTAGCTGGCTAGCTAGCTGGCTAGCTGGATGGATGGATGGCTAGCTGGCTACCTAGCTGGCTAGCTGGATGGATGGATGGCTAGCTGGCTAGCTAGCTAGCTGGCGGGGTGGGTGGCTAGCTGGCTGGCTAGCTAGCTAGCTGGCTGGCTGGGTGGATGGCTAGCTGGCTAGCTAGCTAGCTAGCTAGCTAGCTGGCCAGCTGGCTGGATGGATGGCTAGCTGGCTGGCTGGTAGCTAGCTAGCTGGATGCATGGATGGATGGAATGCTAGCTGTCTCGATAGCTAGCTAGCTATGTGGCTGGCTGGCTAGCTAGCTAGCTAGCTCGGTGGCTGGATAGCTAGACAGGTAGCTGGCTGGGTAGCTAGCTGGGTAGCTAGCTGGGTAGCTAGCTGGGTAGCTAGTTGGGTAGCTAGCTGGCTAGCTAGCCAGCTAGCCAGCGGACTCACCAGCTCCCAGCTAAGAGCCTGAGGCTTGCCCGCTAGCTTGCTAGCTCGCTTGCTGCTGCTGCTGCTGCAGCTGCAACTGCCACTGCTGCTGCTGCTGCTGCTGCTGCTGCTTACCTTACTGCTGCTTACTCTACTGCGGCCAGGAATACTACTGCTGCTTTTGGAGCTGCTGCTGCCGCTGCTGCTGCTGATCTCTGCTGCTGCTGCGCTCTGCTCCTAGGACTACTACCGGTGCCGCTGTTGCTGCTGCTGCGCCGCTGCTGCTGCTGCTGCTGCTACTGCTGCTGCTGCTGCTGCTGCTGCTGCTGCTGCTTACTCTGATGGAAACAGAATGTTCATCCCCAGCCACCAGCAGCTGCACCGGCGGCAGCTGCGGGTCAGCAATTTCTGCTGCTGTTTCGTACTGCGGCTCCCCCTGAGATATGCGCTGCGAGTGCAGAAACGGGCTGCTGCTGCTGCTGCTGCTGCTGCTGCTGCTGCTGCTGCTGCTGCTGCTGCTGCTGCTGCTGCTGCTGCTGATGCGGCTGCTGCTGCCCTTGGGAGCGCGGTGCACGTAAGTGTCCACTGTCGCTCTCATGGCATTCTTCAAAACAAAGAAATAAATAAATAAATATAATTAATTAATTAATTAATTAATTTATTTATTTATTTATTATTTATTTATTTATTTATTATTTATTTATTTATTTATTATTTATTTATTCAAAAATAAAGACAGGTAACAGCAGCAAATAGCTCTCTTGCTTAGAGTGGGGATAAGCTGGTGCATTTATTTAAATGCAAAAGAATTAAAATTATTCATTTATTCATTTATATACTTTTATTTATTTATTTAGTTACTATTTATTTATTTATTTATTTATTTATTTATTTATTTATTTATTTATTTATTCATTTATTTATTTATTTCTCCTATTTAGGCGTGCGGATATGCAGAGCAGGCTAGAGGCGCAGAAGAGCCAGTGGATGCCAAACCCTAAACCCTAAACCCTAAACCCTAAACGCTAAACCCTAAACCCTAAACCCTAAACCCTAAACCCTCGAAACATACCTTCAAGAGCTCCGACAAGATGTAGTAGAGGTACTGCGGGACAGAGGCAAAATGCGCGTCGTTCACGTTCCATATCTGAGCTCCGCAACAACTGCAAACCCTAAACCCTAAACCCTAAACCCTAAACCCTAAACCCTAAACCCTAAACCCTAGACACAAAACAACAGTCCGCAGAAAAGGCGGAAAGAAATGAAAACAACAGCAGAAGGGACTAAGAAAAAAGGCAGGGAAAAATAAGCCAGCAAGAAACAAATGAAACAAACAAACCCTAGGCCCTAAACCCTAAACTCCAAACCCTAAACCCTAAACCCTAAACCCTAAAAGCAAACCCGCTCACCTTGATTTGGGGGCAGCGGCCGTAATGAGAGTGACACAGCTTCTCCGTGTCTGAGCGCCGAAGCACAAGGGCCAATAAACCCTAGAATGGCCCCTGGACCCTAAACGCTAAACCCTAAACCCTAAACCCTAAACCCTAAACCCTAGACCCTAAATCAGTTAGTGGCGAAAGCTGTGCAGAGACAGGCAAAACGCAGAAGATCAGAATTTCTCGTTTTGCTCTGTCGAGTCGCGAATTAAATGAGAACACAGCAAACTCTAAACCCTAAACCCTAAACCCTAAACCCTAAACCCTAAACCCTAAACCCTGAACTCTTAAAAAAATCTCGCCTACCTTCAGCTGCTTTCTTCGTCACTTGGAAAGGGTCACATGCTGCACAGTTTCCCACATCCGCATGTGAAGTAACCCTAAGCTTCCTTCACCCAAACCCTAAACCCTAGTTCCTAAACCCTAAACCCTAAACCCTAAACCCTAAACCCTAAACCCTAACTTACCCATATCAACGACGCCGTTGGGAGTTAAGAAGCTGCTGGTGAGCATTTCAGTTCCTGAAAAAAATGAAATACAGAAAAGTAATTTTTCAAACACAAACCCTTTCTAGAGTTGCAGCCGACCCTCACTCAAAACCCTAAACCCTAAACCCTAAACCCTAAACCCTAAACCCTAAACCCTAAACCCTTGAATCACAGCTCTAAACCCTGAACTTTAAACCGCAAACACTAGACGGTGAGGCGGGAGAGCAAACACCTTGCCCTACATGATGCGTACCAGCAGCTCAGGTTTGAGGGTTTAGGGTTTAGGGTTTAGGGTTTAGGGTTTGCGGTGGAGGGTTTACCTATTCTTGAGAGGAAGAAGCCATCAAGAAACTCATCTACGAATTCTTCTGTCTGCAAGGACAAGAGAAGATCTGGAAAGTATTTTAAAATACTTTTAGGGTTTAGGGTTTTGAGGGTTTGCGTTTTGCTGCTGCTCCTTACTGCTCCCTGCTTCCTCCTAGGGTTTAGGGTTTAGGGTTTGAGGTTTAGGGTTTAGGGTTTAGGAATTGCGAAGGCCTGAGGCGCAGCTCCTCTCACGTTGCAGATGCTTCTAGAGTTAAGGGTCTAGGGTTTAGGGTTTAGGGTTTAGGGTTTACGAGGAACTGCGGCGCGGCCCCTCTCAAGCTGCAGCTGC